TGGGTGGATCCCATCTGGCCCCATCGACTTGTGCACATCCAAGTGCCGTAGCAGGTCACCAACCAGTTCTTCGTGGATGGTGAGGGCCACATCCTGCTCCCCGTCCCCTTCCACCAGTTCTGGGTACTGGGTATCCAGAGAGCAACCGGTTTTACCACTAAAGACTGAGGCAAAGAAGGCATTGAGCACCTCCGCCTTTTCCTCATCTCTTGTAACTAAGTTTCCCCCCGCATCCAGTAAAGGATGGAGATTCTCCTTAGTCCTCCTTTTTGTGTTGATGTATTTATAAAAGCGTTTTTTGTTATCTTTAACGGCAGTAGCCAGCTTGAGCTCCAGATGAGCTTTGGCCTTCCTAATCTTGTCCCTGCACAGCCTCGCTACATCCTTATAGTCCTCCCTAGTGGCCTGCCCAATTTTCCAAAGATTATAAACCCTCTTTTTCCTCCTAAGCTCAAGCCACAATTCTCTGTTGAGCCAGGCTGGTCTCCTTCCCCGCTGGCTCATCTTTGGGCACATGGGGATAGACCGCTCCTGTGCCATTAGGATTTGCCTCTTGAATAGCACCCAGCCTTCCTGAACCCCTCTGCCCTTCAGAACCGCCTCCCATGGGACTCCACCAACCAGTGTCCTGAGCAGCCTAAAGTCAGCCCTCCGAAAGTCCAATACAGTGGTTTTACTGGTTCCCTTCCTGGCCCCGCCAAGAATAGAGAACTCCACCATTTCGTGGTCACTCTGCCCAAGACTGTTCCCGACAATCACATCCTCCACCAGTCCTTCTCTGTTTGTGAAGAGAAGGTCTAGCAGGGCACCACCCCTGGTAGGTTCACTAATCAGCTGCGTCAGGAAGCTATCTTCCACTTTCTCTAGAAACCTCCTAGACTGCTTCCTCTGGGCTGTGTTGTGCTTCCAGGATATGTCTGGGAAGTTGAAGTCCCCCACGAGTACAAGCGCTGACGATTTCGCAACTTCTGTCAGCTGCCTGTAGAACTCCTCATCCGTCTCCTCATCCTGGTTCGGCGGTCTATAGCAGACCCCGACCAGGACACTAGCCTTGTTGTCCCTGCCGATCCTAACCCAAAGGGATTCGATCTTGTCATTCCTAGCCTCGAGTTCTACAACATCGAAAGACTCTCTAATATAGAGAGCCACACCGCCACCCCTTCCATGCTGCCTGTCCCTTCTGAAGAGCCTATAGCCAGGCATCGCAGCACTCCAGTCATGAGACTGGTCCCACCACGTTTCCGTGATGGCAACCAAGTCGTAGCCTGCCCGCTGCACGATGGCTTCCAGCTCCTCCTGTTTGTTACCCATGCTGCGTGCATTGGTGTAGATGCACTTCAGCTGGGCCTTTACCTTATCCTCCGGCCTTGCCACTGCTCCCCCTGGTACAGCCCCAACAGTCCTCGCTCCAGCCCCATCCCCCTTCTTACCTAGTTTAAAGCCCTATCAATGAGCCCCGCCAGCTCCTGGCCCAGGATCCTTTTTCCCCTAAAGGATAGGGACCCGTCTACGGCCACCAGACCAGGTGCTGAGTAGACTGCCCCATGGTCGAAAAACCCAAGATTTCTGCGTAGGCACCAGCCCCGGAGCCACGTGTTTAACAGGTGGGCTTTCGTTGTCCTCTCCGTACCCCTTCCTGTCAACGTAGGGACGGACGAAAAAACTACTTGCACTCCTGCTCCGTCCACTAACCGTCCCAGTCCCCTAAAGTCTCTTTTGATAGCCTTCAGGCTTCTGTTGTCAATGTCATCAGTGCCCGCCTGGATTATCAGGAGCGGATAATAATCAGAGGGGCGCACCAGGTTGGGGAGCTTCCTGGCCACGTCCCTGACCCTGGCCCCAGGGAGGCAGCAGACTTCCCTACGGGTAGGGTCAGGCCGACAAATAGGGCCCTCTGTCCCCCTAAGGACAGAGTCACCCACGACAATCACCTTTCTTTCTTTCTTGGTGGAGGCAGTTCTGATGCGTGGAGTCGACCTCCTCGCCCTAGGCATCCTCCTGGGAACACTTTCTATCTCTTCCTCAGCTACCGGTCTCTCAATCTCCAGGGCCTCAAACCTGTTTTGTAAGGGCACCTGGGAAGGTGGGGCCGGAGGGGGAGGGCATCGCCTGCCACGTCGCACAGGGACCTGTCTCCACTCCTCCTCAGCTCCCAGATCCCCTCCCTCGGCCCGACGGCGACAGGGCAAGGGGTCCACCCCCGTTTGGGGTGTCTCACCCCGGTACCTCTCCTTGATGCCCTGCAGGGAGTTGCTCCAGAAGTCAATCTCCCGCTCACACTCCCTGATGGCCCTCAGCCTCTCCACCTCCTCCTTGAGCTCCGCCACCATGCGGACCAGGTCATCCACCTGCTCACACCTCACACACGCAGCGTCTCTGCCTCCCGTTGATGGCAGCAGCAGGCTCTGACACTCCCTGCATCCGTTGACCTGAACCGCTGCATTCCTTAACAGGCAGTCGGTCTGAGTGTGTACCGACCTCCTGCAGAGCGCTCCGTGCCTGGTGGAGACCATTATCACCTTGCTAACGACTGTCGTTAACAGGTGCTCGTGTGGGAGGGTGTTGCTCTCCGCCCTTCCTTTTCCCCCTGCTTAAGTAGTGAATGAACTAGATAAAAAATTCAGCCCGTGTTTGCTGATCTCAAATGGTTTGGGGGCATCCAGCATATTTGGATGGATGGAGGTAAAGGTAATCAAAGAACTGCCCAAGGAAGTGACTCTTCCTGGGGCCCTAACCTTGAAGAATTTCATTTAAGTACTGCTCAGCTAAATGGGATGGTAATTGGATAAACAGGGTGGTAAATGTTTGATTTTGGATATGGACAGAACTCAGCACATTCCTGTAGGTTTTTCTCTTTATAGCATGTCATGCAGCCTTCAGATCCTCTCTGTCACCACTGAACTTTGCATCCTGTGGTATAAATGTGCCACAACTTTTGTGCCATAGACTCTCTCCCCACTTTGCTAGCTGCCATTTCAGATGTGAAGCAAGGAAGCGGTGCTGAGGACCTTTAAGAGGAGAGGAGGAGTAACTTTTCGTATGTTCCCAGCATTTTGTGCCATGTTCCACTCCCTATGTGCTGACTCTAGGCATTGGAGAACTGATCCCATGTGATATTGATTATCTTCTCCTAGCCAGGAGGGAGCTCATTCGCAGTGCTGCATCCTGATGCCCTCTGAATTTGAAGTTTCCAGGGGATTGCTTCTCTTTTTCCAGTTCTCCTAACAATATGGGTGGGTCATCCCTTACTGAAAACTGCATAGTTGAGAAATCCTCATCTGTGCATTTGTCAGCTGAACTGAATTGTGGAATAAGCCTTGAAGTGAAAGGCCTTTTTAGTCAGAGATGTGACCCTTTCAGTTTTTTTGGCAGATTAATCGGTTGTAGGAATGCTATTCCTTTGGAGACAGCAAGTTGCTGAGGGCTTGTGCATTGTTCTTGTGCCATAATACAGTATCAGGAACAGGCTGAAAACAAAGGCACAGGATTCAGGCAATGCTATAGCGTGAGAGCCATTAACCAGTGCTGTAAGCTCTGCAGTGTAGAGGCTCCAGAAGTTTTTCATACAGAAATCTGTTCAGACCGGGAAAGACACCATCTAGTAACAACTTTTGGATGTCGAGCACTTTGACAACAAGACACTGTGCACAGGAGCTTTATGGGCCTAATTCTGGGCATTGGGGCTTAAAAATCTTAGCCAGAATGCTGAAAATACCAGGATTTTACATCATCAGTCAGACTTACCACCTCAATGACTACAACAGTTGGATATAAACTGTATTTACTTCCTTCCTGACGTCTTAGAGGATGGATCTCTAGGCCAGTGGGAGAAAGAAAAGAAACAGATTGAGGTTTTTGTTTTGAGTTCCTCAGACTTGATCTTTGACACCACCAAATTAATAGCAACACACAGCAGAAGTTCAGCTCTCCTCCTCCAACTGGGGGACGTGCTGCTGGAGTCCTAGAGATTAGGAAGATAAGATACAGCCTGAATGATGTCGTGCAACTCAGCAATGAAATGGTCACTGTATCATCACTGCCAGCCTCCTCAAGCCCCAGAATAATAAATCTGGCATCTCTCTGGGTGCATGTGAGTAACCTGTGCATATGTACGTGACCAATGCCTGTTCAGCTACCCCAGTGTGTCCTGGACACGCCAGATTCACCATGCGTGCACTCCAGGAGGCTCGAGTGCCTCCTGTGATGTCTATGCCTCTGAACTCCTGGGATGCATCAGACACTTCTGTGATATGGAGTCGATTTTTGCATGGTTGGTGGCCGTTTGTCTGGGATTTCCAGATGTTCCAGCTGCTAATTGTCTGGAAATCTGGTGGAATACTGCCCAAAGCAGTTGAGTTGGCAGGCTGGAGATGTCTTTTACATGTCTAATTAATGTAGTGTGCATGTAAAATGTCTTCCTGTGTAAAGACAACCAGGAAAGAAAAGTACGAGTTACTAACAGAGGCAACTAAAGTAGAACCTCGGTTCTTTGTGAGTCTCTTATTGGCCTTTATTTTCACATTTCCTATGCAAATTCTATTATTCTACCAATATGCAATAACAAATATTCAGCAAGTGTGTGTACTTGTATTTACATGATATGCTTCAAGTTTTTAATATTTATTGTGTGCATTTCCAATGTGGTTGCTGCCTTGGCATCATCACGATCCTTGTCCTTTTGGAGACATGTAAACTTTGTCTTGTGAGGCCTTGTGGCCACTCCTTACCTCAGGCTGAACAGACTGAGAAAATCTATCACAAACATGATGGAGAGCAGTCTACACATTTTTTTCTGAGGCTGCTTCTCCTAGAAGAAGTTTTTAGATCACACACTAAGGATAAGCATTATATCCGTGTGCTGTTTACAAAGGGTGATTGGAAGCTGCTGCTTAGTAGGTTTTTTTTTTGCAGTGTTCTGCCTTTTTTTGCAACTTTGAATTTTGAGGCCTATGGTGACTAGAGTAGTTACTCTGTCCATTTCTTTTTCTGCTGTGTACTAGGTGACAGCTTAGTGATGACCTGAAAGAACACAAAAGATCCTCACTGATTACCTTTGCAAGCGACACAAGACTGGAAGAACTAAAGATTATGAAGAGGCCAGCAGCAGAGAGCTTTCTGCCTGGATTGATAAGGTAGGAGAAAGTTAATGATTTGAATGTATATACAATCAGGACAGGAAGAAGCATGAGGGGACAAATATTAAGACTATGATGACAGAATAGGAGGCTGTTCTGGGAAACCGTAAGTACAACCAAGTACAGAACTTGGTTGAAATTTTCTACATAGACAGTAGAAAACAACTTCCTTGTGTAACACCATCCATTTAACTTAAAGTCCTTTTAAGATGTTAACCATTGTTGGAGTTATGAACAAGAAAACTTAAAGTGCAAACAGGGAATGTCGTAGCAAATATAACTGGGAATTCTCTGCGGCAAGGACTGGGATGGTTATTGATGATGTCTTTTGTTTGTAGGCCATTATGAGATTCTGACATTTAGAAAAGAGAAAAGGTGAATCAACCCTACCCTACAACCCAAAACTCTCAAAGTGGCACTGCAAGATGGTGATTAGTCTGCCATTATAGATCTACGTTTTCCATTATTTGTAGTAGCAAAGAATTTAATTTAGGATTTCAAGTTTAAAAAAAAGTAAATGGAGTGAAATTCCTCTAAAAGGCAATCTTACCAGAATTTTCTGGATGTTTCCCAATTTTATTATATTACCACATGCTCAGCATGTCTTATTTTGGAGTCTAGAATAAAAGTCTCTTTTGAAAAACCTAGAATTTCAGACACTTTCCATAGTTGCAAGAATGCAGGCCCAGAACAGGACAGAAACTCTGCAACTCTGCAGTAAAACATGACCAATATATGCTGAGTGCAGAGAAATCTTGGTGTAGAAATTTTCTTTAAAAATATTTCTGAATTATTCTGAATACAGAATTGTTGGTTTTTCGGGGGGGGGGGGGGGGAAAGGAGTACAAGTAATACTGTGATCATGATCTTTCTGAAAATTCTGGTTTAAATGTATTGCAATTAACAAGAGAAAACAGAAGACTGTATTTTCATGGCAAGCTGTGGTTTTTTCATAGTTCCCAGTAAAATCAGCAGTGTCTTATCACTGACTGAAAACAAAAGAAGTGGGCTATATGAGAGTGCAATTGAAAATCCTGTCCTACGTTGTTTAGGAAGTGCTTCTTTGTGTTCCAAAACAGCTGTATTCATGGGGTGGGTTTCATAAGGGCACATTCATAATTTTGTTGTGGGAGGTCAAGAAGGGGTAATCTAGCAGGTGAGAAGCAAAATTTTGAAGAAATGGGATCTTTCTCAAGGGCAGTTAGAATGGTTTGCATGATAGAGATGCTAAACTAAAGAAATAGAGATTTTAGAATCATCTGGTACAAGGTAAAAATTTCATTTTACGAATAAACTTTTCAAAAATCTCTGTCTTTAAAAGTTACCATCTGTAAATTGAGCTGAAATGTGCGTTTTCAACCACAGCTTTTCCTAGTGCTCAGTCATGAACTACTTCTTCAGCAGTCTACAGAAAAGAACAAAAATTGCACACAGTCTTCTAGGTGACTATATAAATGCATTGGAAAGGAGCTGTGAACATTAGCACATACTTTCTGTGCTTTAATCTATTGCACTTTGAGAGTTTGTAAGCAAACAAATGCTTTTCCTAGCATGCTGGCTTTGAAAACTCATTCTGTATCTGTAGGTGAAGCTGTCTTTTTTTTTTCTTACTTTATTCTCTGGTCGCTCTTTTGCCCACATGGGGAAAGAAAGGTAAAAACCATTTGATTCTGTTAATTTATTTTAAAGTAATTTAAAAGTTATTCTCCGTAAAAGCAGTTCTAATAGAGAAAAGCCAGCTAGGTTTTTCTGTACTTTTGCAGTGGAAATGTTGGGCTGGATTTAGACCCCGTAGCCCCTGGCACAGATCACCCGGAGCTCGCTGGCGATGATGGCTGGTATTAGATGCTGGCATCCCCTGCTGGTGCAGCTGGCGGTTATCAGCGTTCCCTGCCTGGCGAACTCTTGCTGTGGGCAGTCTGCTGTCATCCAAGCCTGCTCTAGTCTCTGGTCTGGAGGGCTGCGGGGTGAGCACCCACAGCAGTAAGCTTATTGTCCCCCTGGGAGCTGTTCTTGAGGTCGCTTCTGTGGCCACGACGCTAGAAAGGTGTCGCAGCTCTTCTGGAGCGGAGAAGAGAGGGTCTTGTAATGAAGGGACTCTGAGGAGCAGGGGCTGAAAGAAGACATCAGGCAGCACAACATTCCTAACGAAATCAGGCAGGTTGGCAGTGCTGTTTGCTGAAGCTGGGAAAGCCCGTGTGGTTTCTGTTACAAGAAAAAAAAGAGCCTGCTCAGCCTTACTCAGGCTGGGGTAAAAATGGTTATCTTTTTCCACTTGCTGTCTTTTGTCTTTGTGTACGGGTGATGGCTTTCCTTGGAGGAATTCTTGTTCCACCCCCATTTTGGCACGCTGCTGAGCGTGATTTGCTCCCCATTGGCGATGCGTGTGCTCCTGGAGCTGGCTGTGCATTAGCCCTCATCAAGGAGGAGGGAATTGGTTTAATTCCACCAGCAAGGGAGGTATAGTGCGCATCTGACTGCAGTTTGGTGTTTTTCTTGAAATGAGTGCCTGCTTTCCTATTGCTTTACCTGCCCATCAGATAGGATCTGCCAAGCCTGGACTTGATGCATTGTTCTCCTGACAATATAGTCAATTCTGCAGCTAATGCACGCGTAAGATGAAAGCTGAACATAAACACCTCTGCCAGCTACAGTATACATTTTAGTGCTCTGCCAGCTACCAAGGGACCGTACTTTAGAGTATTCAAGTCAGGAGTTGTAGGAGTTGCCACAATATTTCTCAGTGCCAAGGGTCAGGTCTTTTAATCTTCCACGATAATAAAACTACGTTTGCCCTCAGGAGAACAAAGGGACGTAGTTTTGCCCCAGTAAACATGCTTTTAAACAGTGGAGTTCAGCTCATTGTGGGCACCTGAATGTGCAGCAAGCGAAGAAATTAAAATTTTAATATATATTGTTAAATCAACATGAATGAAGAAGAAAACAAAAGCAGGCAAAAATGAAGTAACTATCAAATGGGAAGTACTTAAGGCAAGACTTATAAGATGTTTCAAAGCATGAATTGTAATATGTGTTTAAAATAGGACTGTTCCTTTATTCTCAGCATGTGGGTTACACTTTGAATATGGAACAAGAATTTAGCCTTTTTTAGAAGCTGCATTCTTAACAAATTATTCTTAAAATGAAACTGTTTAATGAAACCGCTTTTTAAGTGCTGTGTAAAACCATGCATTATTAACAGGACACCATACATAATACAATATAACCCTCTGCAAGGTAACAATAGTTCCTCTAACTCATTCATACCCAGTTTTGAACTTTACCACTTTTACCTGGGAATATAACGGGCTGGGCATTGTCTTTGCTGGAGATCAGTGACAAGTATAAAGCACAGTGATACTGGCACAGCCTCAGCTCTGGGAAGTTCGTGGTGTTTTGCAGAAAGCAGGTGGGCGAGCAAGGCGTACACTGCAGGGCAGATTGCACAGCTGTAAGATCCGGAATTCCCCTCAAAAGGATCGGCATGTCTTTGAAAATGAATTCATCACCGAAATAAAAGAGATTTCTGATGCAGAGGGAGAAAATGGGGTTTGATCAGTTTCAAATGAACTTTTTTTTTGCGTTTGTTTTGCCTCCATCTCCCTCTTTTTTTTTTTTTTTTTCCCCTTTCTCATTCTCTTTTCCCCCAAAATTCATTTCCAAGATCTAATAAAGGGGATGTTTTCATCTTTAAAAGGTTGTATGAGACTGTTGCAAGAAATTCTTTTGTGCAACCTGCTTTTCTATAAAAAACACTGGGAGCTGAATGCATCTGGATCATTAGATTCAGGAAACACCGTGTTTTCTCAGTATCTATGAAATGCATTCATCGATTATTTTTTCATCAGAATGCTTGCAATAGATCTCTGTGACTATTTTTCACTGTATGTTTTTGTGGATGGTGACAACGTGCTGCCCAAATTAGGAAGAATGGCTGCATGGCATTTAATGCTCAAGCAGTTTGTAAGGGACTTGCAGGTTTGCAATCCCTACCAGGATTTCTCACTATGTAAGTGCTATGTGCTATTCTGAACTGCTAATTCACTAGCTGCATGAATGAATATACTGACATTTTACAGAAGTGTTATGGCTTTCTACCCTCAGAAACTACTGTAAATGGTACATAGTGATGTTAGGCTACGTGGAAACCAATGAGCTGCCAAATGCTTCCAGAAGTTCCCGTTTTATTTTGTGATATCAGTGCCTTCTCTGCTCTTGCTGATCAGTGTGAATAGTTTCTGGCAGTGAAAGTCAGCCAGAAAAAAAATATATTTCGCTTTTGCATCTGATAAAAATTTTATTGCCATATCTAGCTCCAAATAAAACTCCTACTCTTTCAGCAATTCCTGAAAAACACAAATTAATTTGGGTTTGAATAATACCCCCAAACTATTAGAGCTGCCAACTGAACAGGGAACAGATAATTAGGAGATGACAACAGACAGCACAAAGCCAAGAGAGGAAAAACTGGAACACAGCTAGAGAGCAACACTGGCCATCTAATCCATTAACGGCCTCCTATAATTATGTTTTGCTTTTGCATTAAACTGGTATAAACACAAAAAGACGTTAGTGATGTTTTAATCTCCAGGAAAAGAAATCTCCTCTTGCCTAACAGCACGCAGCACACACAGAAATATGACTTCAATTAGCACTACTGTAAATTTTAATTTAGCACTTGGTAGGAGCATTCAGCAATGTATATCTGAAATAGGGGCTGATGCTCCACTGAGGATGTTCCGCACTGTCATCCCATCCATCCCTCGATTCATATTTGTGGGGTGAGCAGGAGGGGGAGGATTTAGGAATTTAGAGCTGGTGGAAAATGCCAGAGGATTGTTTCCCCAGGCCTTCTGCACCCATTTCTTGAGCTGGTTTTTGGCCATTACCAAGGTGTCCTGTCTGGCTGCTGGGTGATGCTGCTGGCAGCAGTGCAGGCTCCCTCCTGCTGCCCACCCCAGGGAGTGGAAAGCACCTACGAGCAACCCAGCATCCAATTTCCAGTGGCTGCCATATAATGCCCTTGAAGTTCGATTTTGTCCGGTGATTTTGTTTTGCTCCAAGCATGACAGGTGTCCACTGTGATTGGCACTGTTCAAAGATTATTTGCAAGTTCCCCAGCTAAGCTTTGGTATTCAGCTCCACCATGGTGCACCGCCTTCTTTTTTTTTGGTACGGGAATATCTTGTGTGAGTGGCACACAGGTTTGCTCTACTAGTCAGCTACAACACCGGAGCTTGGGTTAGCACATTAGAGCACCAAGAATTTATGTTTGTTGCGGTTTAAAGTTATTCCCTGGTGGCAGTGCTTATTTGTGTTTAAACTGCAGATGCCCGTGTTTATACAATTTACATTGTTTAAAATGTCACTATTATTTGTTTAAAAAAAAAATTCTGCTAGGTTTGGCACAGTGTATCCTGTAATTTATTGTACAGCCCTGTGCTATGCCATTTTAGTGAGAATCTTGAAACAGGGCCCTATGTTTTTTTTCCCCTTTTGCTGTTTGTTCTGCTCTTTAATTACATTCATATCAGCTACTTTGAAGTTAATGAGACTGTTGGGATATGTAAAAGAGAATCCTGTATTGATTTCAGTCCTAATATCTTATCTTTGCATCTTTCCCTTCCTGCATGTAATGTGTTCTGACTGAGTCACATTTGCTCACATGTTGTGATGGGTTTAATAGCTTTGGCCTGACATAGGGCTTTATCATACAATCCAAAAGGAAAAGGAAATAAATAAACACAAAATGCAGTTCTGCCTTCTCATTTTCTCATTAAGCCTGTTACATAAGGAATATAATTTATTAAAGTTGATGGGTTCTATACACATCCTAGGTTATCAAAAATATTTTTTATTCTTTCTGTGTAAACAACCCTTATCCTGACTTCTTGTCTTCCTCCCCTACTCAGAAAAATGTAGAGAGTAGTATGGGATATGGCAAGCAACAGGCATGAGGTTGGGATGTACGTCAGTCTATGCTAAGATTTGAGGCCAAGTCAGAACAAGAGTTTAGATACAATACAAATGAAATATTTAATTGTTTTTGAACCCATTGGCTAGAACCAAGTTCTTAGATACTGTCAGAAGATAACAGAAGATGATTTTCTAATTTTAAGGGTATAAGTCTTCTAACACCAACTGTTCACATAAATGTTTTGGTATCTGAAAAGGAATTTTGGAAGTGTAGCTAAGCCATCAAATTTCGTGTGTGTGTGTGTGTATATATATATATATATATATATATATATATTTTTTTTTTTTTTTCCAGCCCAACTCAATAAGTAATTGCTTTGAGGTTTTGGAGCAGTTTCTGAACTTGAACCCTCTGTGTAAGCTCAAGTTCCAGTGTTCAACTGCCAGGTGGAAATCCCAATAGAAACGTTACTGAGTAACTAAGTTTTTGCTCTGTTCCAAGTGCTTTTTCTTGGTTTTATTTGGCAGCCCAGAACTGCCAGGGACCAGGAGCTCAGCAGACATCCATTCTGCTCTGGAATGTGATTGACCAACTGGAGTCAGTAAGAACTAGTCGCATATTTTTAAATGTAGGTCTTAGTATGTTGTCCTTCGGTTTTACAAGGTTATTACCTCCACACACACCTTCAAAAAACTATCCACTTACATTCTAATTGTGTCCCATCTATAATAAAAAAAAGTGTGATATCAGACTGTTTGGACCTATGTAAGAAATCTGTTCTGGCAACAAAGCACCATGGTGTTCAGCTTGGTTTGAGTTTGCATGGCATTGCCAAATTCATCCAAAATTCTGATTAGAACATAACTCAGACAACAAAATTTCATACTGTTTCCTACCAGAAGGTTGAATTTGTCTTGGATATGATATCAGGTCATTTACTTTTTTTTTATTAGTGCTGAGCATAAGTGTGTAATGATACCGGAGGCCACATTTTCCTTCTAATATTTTGTACAACACAGTTGGCCACAAGGCTTACTGTGCCTTCATAAATGATTTGCTTACATTATGCGTGTTAGATAACTCTTGATCTCCTGTAATTTTTTTTTTTTGCACAAATAGGAAGAAATTCTTTGCAATATTAACATCTAAAAAAGCTAAACCACAACAGATACGTTATACCCAAAGTTTGAAAGAACGAAATGTTAAGTTCCTTTCTTTAATCTTCCAGTGGCATCTGCAGCTTAACTTTTGTCTCTGCTGCCTTGAAAATATTTGTCATAGTTCAGAAAAGTACCTCAAAATGTCCTTTGTGAAAGAGGACAACCTGCTTAAAAGTGAATGATGAGAGAGGCAAGAGAGGCAAAGAACTGGGTTTAAAATTATGTGCAAGTCTCACCTGATCTTAATATGAATGCGCAGTTTGACTTCTGATTACATCTGGAAGAAACTACCGAGGAAGAGCTATTGCAGTAGTTAGACCACTGCCTTGCAACTGTAGAGATGTGTGATGTGTTCCCTGTTTGTAGCCCTAGCCAGCTCCAGGAGTGATTTTAACAGTAAATCATATCCAAACTTCATCTCACATCAGGATGCTGCACCTACCAGCCTTGGATGTCTGAATTTCTGGGCTGCAGCTGGAAGGAGGAAGCTGCTGTCTTGCAGCTGAGTTTGGTATTGGGTGCAAATTGCCATTGCTGCTGATCGACCATGCACAGTGTGGCTGCTGCCTTTGTTTCATAGAAACGTGCTTTGGATTAGTTAGGATATGGCACAGGTGCATCTTCTGGTGAGAAAGGGAAGGAAGTAAGAGTGGGATGGCAAAAAAGGAAAGGGAGAAGCAGGAAAAGAGAAACATCCTGTTCCTTGACCACACATAAGGGATTTGGATGAAGGCTACAGATTTCAAAGTGAAGGTACGTTTTGGGTGTATAAAGGTAACCCTCAGGTGTCTGCAGGTTCTTTACCATGTAGGTAACTGTGATCCCTTCAAAGCTGCCATTCAGAAGAAAGCCAAAGGCTTCCTTTCTAAATCCCCCCCATCAGGTTTCCATGCATTGTCCATCTGCATTGAGGTCTGTCCACAAAAACAACACTTTCAGGTCTTGATTCTAACACCTCAACCCCAAGCAATGCCAACCCTGCTGTGATCCTGTGACATTTTGAGAAATATTGTCAGAAGGGCTGTCCAGAGGTTGGCTAAAGTAAACTGTTCATTGTCCATTCATCACCATTCGTTAGTCACTTCCTTTCCCCCGTGAACATGAAGCCTTCCTCCAGCAAAATGAGGAAGTTTCAAATCCCAGAATAAAACCAATATCCATGGGAAACCAGGGTAAGGGGCACTATGTTGCTAGTCTACTGGGGTTTTGAGCCAAAAAAATCCACACAGTTTTTCTACAGAACAATACTGTGTCTCCAGTGTAAGTGTGTGATAAGTCCTAGTGTATAAAACCAGACTCTAAGAGAGGACAACTCTTTTCTACTCTTTGTTCTTTGACCAAGCAGATGCCTTGAAAAGTGACTTTGCTGCTCTGTGTCTCCCTTGTTCCCTTGTGAAATGGTATTTTCCCCATTAGGAAAGCTCTTTGAGATGTCTGGCTAAAAATCTCTCCAGCAAGACTTAAATGTTATTTTATTATACATACACACACGCACTGAACATGTATTTGGCTGATACAATGTTTTAATGCCTTCCCTTCCCGCAGATTTCTGTGAATTCATTGTAATTGCTAAAACTCGTTATTCTCCTAGTCACCAAAAATCTGCTCTTCATACTCCTGTATAAAAATAAACTCCATTCATTCATTTGTTTATTTTTACTTAAAATAAGATTATGCCTACTACTATTCCATCTGTAAAAAGTGCCTTGGCATATCCTTTTAAGAAAGCACTTATCTAATTTATTAATCTCCTAAATTCAGGCCTTTCCTACACCATTTTACAGTAAAAATATTTTTTAAACACAGAAGTGAAATTCCCTAAGTACAAAGCCTTGTTTTATTCTGTAGAATTACATTGTCAAGTAATGACAGAATAAAATTTCCCCAGATAAATAGAAATACTGCAATGGCCCAATTTATTTCTATCCTAAAATATGGATTTTACGTACCATTAATCATATTTTTGTTATGAAGTGGCAGGAAGCTGGCCTAAGAGTCTAACATAAAATATACTTCATCGTCACAGGGAAATCTACTCACCACCTGAACTGCTTAGAATTTTGATTCCTATATAACGAATACAAGGCACTTCAGGCAAGAAAAATTATGACATAATTGGCAAAAGTCCCATCTCCAGATGCAGGATCTTCTAAGACCGACACATAGCCTCACATAATTTATGTTATGGGAGAAATAAAATAACCGAACCCCCCTCTGATTACTCCATCCAGAAGCAAGGTTTAAGCAGGCTTGTTCTCTGAATTAAAACCAAATTCTTCCCCGAAGTCTTCAATGAATTCAGAAAACCGTGTTATGAAAGGTGCACAAAGGGCAACTGCTGCAGTTAAGTCTAAACTTAAGCACTTTGCAGAGTCATTTTAGATTTGCTTTTGCTCCTCCAGCTACATTGCAGAGATTTACATGTCTCCTGCTCTTCTAATAGGAGTGTCTACAAGACTTTATAGGGAAGTGGTGGAGTCACCATCCCTGGAAGTCTTCAAAAGACGTTTAGATGTAGAGCTTAGGGATATGGTTTAGTGGGGACTGTTAGCGTTAGGTCAGAGGTTGGACTCGATGATCTTGAGGTCTCTTCCAACCTAGAAATTCTGTGATTCTGTGATTCTTTCATGCAGTAGAAGTGGATTATTTTCAGATAGAGAATGGCAGGACAGAGTAATGAAGGAGTTTATTATGTAGAGGGAATTGAACTTGTATCTCAAATACTAGGTGCTACTCTCCTCGTTAGGGAACTGCTGCTCTGGCTTATGCAGAGCTTTGGATGTCTAAGACCTGCCTGTGAATGCGCAGTCATGCAGAGCACTTGTGAGCTGAGCCAGCTGGATGCGTGTGTGCAAAGTGATCTGCTTACCAGCGCTGGGTGTGACGTGAGGGAGATATACTTGAACTGACTAGGAGTTGTACCAACTGCATAATGGAAATGTTCCGTTCTCATACGCCGCTTTTGGGGGATCGCTTGAAAAATGTCAATGCTCGCTTTACTTCCCGTCTCTGATTCTCCTTGGTTACAGATGCTGCAAACTGGGGGGAAGCCACAAAAGGTCCCCCAAAACCTACTATGTACCTACTGCCAACATGGCAGTCTTGTTGTTGGATGTAGTCATTGGAGTTTAAAAAGAAATTACCTTGTTCCTGCTCGCTGGCCTCTGAAGTATCAACAGTTTTAATCTATTTATGAACTTCCAAACTAAAGGTGTGACATGCTTTGTCTGCAAAGTGGCAGGAAGCTGGCGCTCTGCCCAACTTTCTCTCCATTCCCAGCTTTTATGTGGTAAAGAGATTTATGGGTTTTTGTGTTGCTGTTATTTTTCCTTTAATTTGTGCTCTTACCTGAAGTGTGACGCTTTGGATTGGAGGGTAGGAGGAGTTAATGAGATGGCTTTGGTATGCCCCACTCTGGTAACCTTCACACCAGCTGTAAATTACCCGTCTGGCCGCAGCCATCCTAGCGTGATCGTGTCCCTGCAGCACGGGAGCTGCAGTGCTCAGCCACCCCCCTGTCCCTGTATCCTCTCGCTGACATTGACTGTGACATGAAATTCAGATGTTTCGGATTCTGGGGGTGTTCCTGCCACACCATCGGTTAGTCCCAGTACTGGGATGAGTAGTGTAGGATGAAGGTAGAGCCAAGGTCCTCCTGGTCTGAGCCTGGTGGGAGG